CACCTGCCCGGCGATCCCTGCGCGGCTCGCCGCGGCCGCCCTCCAGCGCCTGGGAGGGCTCCTGGCGCCTCCAAGGCTGGAGCTCGACGACCGAGAGACACGCAGGGTGTGGTCCCTCCGACTGGGCCCGCTGGCGGCGGCCCCAGAGCTCCGAGCGCACTCCGCGCCAGTGCTCCCCCGTGCGTGGCGCTCGCTGCGCACTCTCCGCGCGGGGCGACGTGGCGGACGCGCCCTTCGAGCTGGGCCCAGCCCGCGGCCTCGAGCGGGCAGCCGGGCGCGTGACGGAGCTCCAGCGTGCTGACCCCGGCCGCTGGGGAAGGCGCTCGGTCGGCGAGCAGGGCCTTCTCGCGGCAGCAGGTGTCGACGTCCGAGCCCTACCCCCCCCAGCCACTCGACTCTTCCGAGTCGGTGGGAGGCGTGGGGTAGGGTTCGGACTTCGCCACGTGCTCGACGAATCCTGAACCCCGCCCCCGCCGCCTGTCGAGTCGCCTGAATCGTTGATCGGAGAGGGGAGGGTTCGTATTTTGCCGCCGACGCAGGCGATCAGGAGCCTGTCTGAGAAAGACAACTGTCGTGTTGGGAGGAAGGGGTTGGGAAGATACAGGGCACGACTCCGTAATAAGCCCATTCGAACGTATCTGATCATTTCTCCCCATCCCATCCTCCCTGTAACAAGATAGTACCAATCCTCCTGGCCGCGGATGTCGTCCTTATGGTCCTCGGATGATCGGATTACGGCCGGACCTAGGACAGAAACACATCCCTCAAGAACGCGAGACACTCCGCGGGCCAATATGAAGAGCATTCGAGGGCACCCTTCCCCAGGATGCACAAGCACATCCAACAAGCACGAAGAACAGTAAGGTACCCTCCCTGAACTGACCTCGAACTTCTACCTCGGTCCCACCGTATCTCTCCCAACTACATCCTCCCAATTCAACAACTGCCTTTCTGGCTGCCGCGCGCCTGCGCAGGCTCCGCGAGCCGGCACGTGCTGTGCGCGACGCCCGTCACAGAGTGACAGAGCACTGGCCGACTTGCCTCCCCTAGGTGGGGATATGGGCTGTGTCCTTCGGGTTTCGACGGGTATATCCGCCACTTGGGTGCTGAGATGGTGGGGGTCTGGATGGGGATGGAGACGGGGATAAGGATCGGTTCAACGGTACTGAACCCCAGTGGCCTGGGGACGAGTTCGGTGAAAACCCTCTGTGAGCAGAGTTGGAATGCAGGGTGCTATCGTTGAAAGAAAAACTTTGGAACAAACGCTGGGGAGCCACCTCGCGTGACCACCCTTCGCCCCTGGCCGCGATATTGAACACGCGTTTCCAGAAAAACGGGGCCAGAAAAAACTTAAACCCAACATCCCGAACGCAATATCTGCCAACGTCAAGGCTATTGGGTAGGGTGGAACTTGCTTCTCCCTAGCTCGATCATTGTTGATGCAATTCGTTATTCGTTATTTTCAATCGTCAAGCAGGCCGCTTCGGAAGGTTTAGTGGATTGTTGTGTTTCAACCATGGATTCGTGCTACTGCGCTGCATTTTTGGTGTTGCGGCCATGGGGGCGCGATGACGTGATGGTGGAGCGCTGTAGGTGCGCATAGCGCGGCGTTTGTCGTTATAGGTGTGAGGCTGGATTCGGGCGACCTGGTAGCAGATCTCATTGCAACATGTCCCTCCAGGTCGGAGCGCCGTACATGTCAAAACGGATCATGTGGATTATATTGGTGCGCTGCCCTTCGGTGTTCTTCCTCCTCATCCGCCCTCTACTTTCGCTTTTCTCCCTGGAGCGTATGGGGGCTTGAACGGATAGAAACACCCGAACCCCAAAACCAGGACCCATGGCTAAATCCGCCGACCCCTTGTGGGTCTCCAGGCGTGTGACATGGTTTCCCCTCATAATCTCCCCCGACAAGGGGCCCCGAACTGGAAAATTAACCACCCCTCACGGGCGGAAACCAATTTGCATGGGCCCCTCATGCAAATGGCCGCCACAACGGGCAACCCCCCGGCGAGCCTGGCCCCCATGCCCCTGCGCTCATTTGCAAGGGCGCCCAGCGCAAATGTGCCCCCAACCAGCCAATCCCCAGGGCCGAACGCCTCAGAGATTTGCGCCCATGTGCATGTGCGCCCCGTGCAACCTGCCGCCGAAATCCCCCCCCCCCCCCCTCTGGACGAACTCCCCAAGGGTTCGCGTCCGTTTGCACGGGCGCCCCATGCCAACGACCACTTAACCATGCCAGCTGGGGGGGGCCCGGGCTCTCCAGGATTCGCGCACATTTAAACGGGCGCCCCGTGCAAACGGTCGCCGAAAGTGGCCAACCCCATGGAAAGTAGGCCCATTTGGGAAGGGCCGGGCTCACTCGGGGCTCTTGCGGGTTCCGAAACGACCTTCGACGCGTCGAAAACGGCCAAGACGGCCCGATGGTGCCCCAGGCGGGGCGTCCAAGAGGGCCCCTATGAGGGCCAAGTCGTCAAACTCCAAATTGGTTTTCGCACGCTTTACGCAGGGCGGCTCGATCGGTCTCGAAGCCCCACGAGGTCCCGAAACTGCCGCCGAGAGGCCCCCGAGAGCCCGAGAGGCCTCAACAGAGACCGCGAGAAGCCGCCCAAGAAGGCGCCTCGTCCGCGACCCACTTTTGGTCCACAAAAATTCTCGAGAAGCCTTCGAAAGGCCTCCTCCTTCTCCTTCGCCTTCTCCTCCCCGGTCGAATCCCCAATCCTCCTTCTCGCCCGCCATGGGCGCGCCAACATGATGCAACAGTGGGGTGCAATCCGGGCAGGCGCGATGTCCGGAGCGATTAAATAAACGTCTGACGCGGCGAATTCCGACCGCAGAATTGATTGTCCGACGTGCCCAGAAACGATTCCCGAGGGCCGAAACCGAAGAGAAAATTACCAGGATGCTCGCGTCGTCCGGTATCTGCGTCGTCCTTTTCGTCCTCGTCCTCGTCCTCGTCCTCCTTTTCCTCCCCAGTCGGAGTCGGGCGAAGAACGGGGAATGAGCATCATCGCAGGAAAAGGCCTGGCGGCGCTGGGCGGGGGCCGACCGCGACGGTCTGCCCGCGGGCATGCAACGTTGTGACTCCCGAAGGAAAACGTGCCCAAGGGAACGCCAGCCTCCTCTTCCTCTCCATCCTCCTCCCCCACCCTCCTCCTTCCCCCCGTCCGCCTCTCATTTCCTCCTTTCCTCTTTCCTCCTCGTCCTCCCCTCCTCCCCCCTGTCCCGTGATCGTGGCGCCATCTGGTCTGTAGTTGCTCCGGATGGTCCACGGAGACGCGCGGGGCGGACGACTGGCGCCCCGCCCACCCCCCCGAACCGGGGACCTGGGCCCTTGGCGAAGCCCCCGTTCCGAAAAGAGCGCGCATCGCGTCAGCGAGGTCGTTTGCGCGTCGAGCGGGCGCTCCTGACCTGGAGCACGCCCGTGAGGCACCCATTTCGTAGTAGCAAGGGGCACTTCAACTTTTAAATCCGTCCAGCCCTTTACGGCGAAGTGTTTCCTCTTCCAACCCAGCTTTTCCCCCGGGGACGGGGTTTCCCACTGCTGTGCATGGTATCGCACCCGCCCCCTGCATACCCTGCGCTGAAACAACCCAAAGAGAGCATGGTAGATACGAAGATGTCCGGAGCAGGAGCTCTGGGAAACGTCAGAGAAGATGGCACAAAACCGGAATCCCCACTGCACAACAGAGCTGCGAGAGCGTCCAGGTTGCCCCAGGGGGCACTCAAAAACTTCTTGGACGACCCCCGACGAAACATCATGCCATGCTCACTCCTACGCATATAAACACTGGATCTGCGGAGCGCTTCGGGTCTCCGACGGAGGCCAAGACATCCAAATTGAGTGCCGTAGCGCACTCCGAAACGCCCGAAGAGAATCCCCAATAAAAAACAAGGGGTCGGCGGATGTGGCGTAAACCTGAATAGTCAACATTGATTTCGGGGGCGGTGGGGTGGTGATCGTAATCCCCCTCCAATGCGTGATGGGGGCGAAAGTACAAGACGAAGCCATGACGAGGATAAAACCTGGTGAGGATACATCGAGAATCTGAGATCTGGCGCCTCTGGAGCCTGTTTCGGGCGCCGCGGCCTTGTCTCCTCCGAGCGCTCCAGAAAGCCCTGCGAGCGCTCAAGAACGCCCTGGGGCGGACTTGTCCTCGTCCTCGCCCCACCCGAAAACGCTGTCTCTGCTGGAGCGCGGCAGTTTGGGGAAATGGAGCGTTCCCGAACGCTCTGCGAGCGCTCCAGAACGCCTTGGAACGGACTCTTGTCTTGGCGGCGCGCGCAAGGGGGTGGAGGGAGGGGGGAGGGCTTCTTAGAGGGCTGCTTCTCAGAAAGCCGCCAGCCTTACATCTATAGATAAGGCCCGCGCCTTCTAAGAAGCAAGGGAGCTTCTAAGACGCCCTTCCCCCTCCCCCGCCCCCCCTCTGCGTGGCTGACTGTCCTCGTCCTCGCCCCGCCCGGGAGCATCGTCGATCGGCGGGAGCACGGCAAAGGGGGGGCAGGGGGCTACGGGGAGGGCACGGGGACCGCTCATTAGACGCTACTTCGACGCGGCATCGACGCTACTGTCGACGCTAATTCCACGGGGGGGGCCCGGCGGCACCGCAGCACGGGCAGCAAAAGGCGCCCGCCCCCCCCCCCTAGAGCTCTCTCGCCTTCCAGCCGGAGCCTGCGCCTCTCAAGGGCCGCGGCCCGGTTGGCGGCAATCCGGCCCCGCTGCTCCGCAGTGAGCTCGGCCTGGCCCGCTGCCGTCGGCCGTCGTCGCTGCTGCCTCGGCGTCGTCGTCGCCGTCGTCCTCCCTCGTCCTCATCCTCATCCTCCTCGTCCTCCTTCTCGTCCTCCTCCTGTCCTCCCTGCCGCCTCGCGGTGGAGGGGGGGGGGCCGCCCCGCTGCTCCCGCTGCTGCTCCCGCTGCTGCTGCCGCCGCTGCTGCTGCCGCCGCTGCTGCTGCTGCCGCCGCTGCTGCTGCTGCTGCTGCTGCCGCACGCGCGGAGGCATTTCGACGACTGGGCCTCAAGGGGCCTCTGCGGGTGCTGGTCCACAGCGGAGCGCCGTGCTTCTGACCTGGCCACGCCTGCAGCGATCTCGGGCAACCTGATGCCTCAGAAGCGGAGTCGGTCTACATCAGGGTGCCGTCGCGTCAGTGCCGATCGACATCAAGGTGCCGTTTTGCCCGATTCTTATCGCCGATGGAAAAGTCCGACCACTTCAGATCAGGGTTCGCCTTCACCTGCTGAATGATGGGCTCAAATTTGCCCGCGTTCTCCCAAACCTGCAGCTCTTGCGTCAACTCCACCTTGACACGCTGTGCCGCAGGCAACTCTCCAACCTTGAGGTGCCATGCGCGTAACTTCGGTCTGGCAACGTCGTCCATTACATCGCTCCAGCCAAAGACTTTGGGCATCATAATGCGCAGAAAGCATGCGAGTGTTGGCCACAATGCGAAATCAGCCTCCGTGAGCGTCTCACCAGCGGCGTACGGCCCTTTGATCAGAGACTCTAGGACGTCAAGCTGCTTGTAGATCTCGGCCACCTTGCCGGCGCGACTGGGCGCGTCGATCAAGTCGACACCCTTGTACATGCAACCCTGGTTGGCTGTCACGGCTGGGTCGGACGAGTTTGGCGAAGCAATGTACACATCGTGCACCTGAGTAATCAAGGCGGCAAGTGCCCGCCCCTCCGGAGACGTTGCACCAACACTGGGGCCGACCGCAACAAATTTGTCAATTAAGTAGCCGAGGATCCGCCAGTCCCCTTGCGGGGCCACCAAACTGCGCGGATGGTGACTTCGCAAGAAGTCAGCACGTGTGCTCGAATTTGCTGTGCAATTTTGAACACATTTGAAATCGATGAACACATGCCTCTTGGAAACTAGTTGCGAGACTAATCGATCGAGCGCATCTTCCAACAAGGCAGCCGGCCTGGTGCGCGTAACTCCAGGAAGTGAAGCTGACACGTTGCTGAACGTGCACCTCCCTGGCCCGAAAACTGAACGTCAGCCCCACCTGACCGCGTGCTCTTAAGGGAGTCCCTGGTCCCGTCCTGAAGCTGACCACATTTTTTCCTGACCGTGTCCTTTATATGCTATCAAGGCCCTGCAGAAGCCGGCTAAGCCCCCAAGCACTCTGGGCGGAGGTGCTTTAAGGCACTTCTTCTTCCACCCCTTTCTTCGCCTTTGGGGAGGGCCTTATCGCTGAGTCTTAATAATCAAGATCTCCTCCCCCACTCGACACGCGGCCGACCAGGAACCATGCACCCCCCCACACCATCTCTATTCACAGAAACACATACAACAGACACTTCGTGGCACAATCTTGGACCATATGCGGGGGCCCTGCGATCCCCTCATTTTGTTGTTTGGAAAGGGCGGCTGGGGTGCCAGCACATGCATGGCGTGCGCAGGCTCACGATGCCTGCCAAAAAAACCATGCAAAGTGCACCTTGTGGCACAAACTTTGACCATGCGCGTGGGTGGGAGCGCGATCACTTCGCATGGCTGTTGGGCAAGGACTGCGGGGGTGTGCTGCCTGGCGCGTGCGGGCCCACAACCCTGGTCTCACACCATCAACTGTGCTGGCCACCCCGCCGATACTTCGGACTGGCTTTTGACAGAACTGCTGGCGGTCTACATGTTTCCTGATGTGTGCGGTCACGCGTGCTGGCGCACCTGGCACACCCTGCATGCGCCGCGCACGTGGCGCACCTGGCGCGGGTGGAGCACGTAAACCACCTGGCGGATTTGGAGCACGTGGCGCATCTTGCGCAGCAGGCACGCTTGGGCCCCCGGGGAGCCTGGTGCACATGATGCGCGTGGCGCACCTGGCACGCGCGGCGCACCTCGCGAGCGCCGCGCAGCTGGCGCCTGTGTTGGCTCCGAGTGGTTGTCCTTCCAATTGCGTCCCCTGGCTATGCTGAGACTTTGGTACTACGTATGTGCTGCGAGGGCGGGTGGGGATAACTGGATCACTGTTCACTATTGAAATACACCCGCTCCCCCATTGTACTGGCCGCCAATCAGGGTTAATGCTGACCCCCACCAGCCTTCCCTGTCACAGAAAACAAATCCGCCGACTCTTTGGGGTCACGGCGTGTGAGATGCTTCCCCCTCCCCAAACCCCTCCCCAGGGGGCCTGGTCCAGCCGGTTTGGAGAGGGGCGGAGGGGGGGGGGGGGGGGGCAAATCCATCATCCGCACACTTGGAGCCTCAGGAGGCCCCAAAACATGCCAAAAAGGTTCCAAAGGTTCCTGGAACGGTCCAAGAGAGCTACGAATCGACGAAAGATCGCCCCCAAACGCCGAAGATTGCCTCCAGACGGCTCCATAAGTCCCAAGTCCCCAAGACGTTTGAAACAATATTACGAGGCGCCCCAAAGAGGCCCTTCAGAAGCAAAGGTCGTCCCATTCCCTAGGTAAAACGTCCATTTTCATTGTTTTCACCACATTCGCCCATTCGGCTTCCACGCGGCGCACAACGGCCCAAGAAGCCTCCAATATCGACCCTCGCCAGCCCAAGAGGCTCCCAAAAAGGCTCCAAGACGGCGTCCGGGCGATCCACGAAGGCTTCAGAAACCATTGCAAAGGCTTAGGAAAGCCGCAGGACGGTCCCAAGACGGCTCCAGAACGGAGCAAAAGGCCCCCCAAAGGCAGTCGGGACGGCCCATGCGGGGGACGAATCGGTCCAAACCGCCCAGGATCGCCGCCAGACGGCCCCATGGGTGTCCAAGACGTTTGAAAACGCGACCACGAGGCGCTCCAAGAAGGCCTCCAAAAACAAAAAACCGTCCCATTCCCGAGGTAAAACGTACATCTTCAATCAATTCGCTTCTTGGGCTTTCGCGAGGCCCACAATGGCCCAAAAAACCTCCAAGATCGACCCCTGTCACCCGAAGAGGCTCCCAAGAAGGCTCCACGACGGCTTCCCGGCGCCGGACGAAGGCTCCAGAAACCATAGCAACGGCCCAGGAAAACCGCATGACGGTCCCAAGAGGGCTCCAAAACGAGCCAAGAGGGGCCTCACAAGCTGTCCGGACAAGCCACGTGGGGACGATCTGGTCCAAACCGCCTAAGACTGCCCCTTAGACAGCCCCATAAACTTTGGCACCCCAAGAGACTCCCCAAAAGGCTCCACGACGGCCTCCAGGCGCCCGACGAAAGGCCCCAGAAACCATGGCAACGGCCCGGGGGAACGGCAGGACGGTCCTAAGAGGGCTCCAACACGTGTCTAGAGGGGCCTCACAAGCTGTCCGGACAAGCCACGCGGGGGACGATTCGGTCCAAACCGCTCCCGCGTGCCTGCGGACGACCCCCCAGAGGTCCCCAAGTCGTTTGAACAAGCTACTGCGAGGCGCTCCACGCGGGTCTCCAAAAGCAAACATTGTCCCATTCCCTTGGGGAAAGGATTTTCAGCACATTCGCTTCTTGGGCCTTCCACAATGCCCCCAACGGCCCAGTAAACCGGATCCGAGATCGACTCCCGACACCCCAAAAGGCTCTTAAAAACGCTCCACGACGGTCTCCGGGCGCCCCACGAAGGCCCCATAAACCGTAGCAGCGGCCCAAGACCGTGGAGTCCGGACCCCCCCCGACCAAAACAACCCTCCCGGGTCCGACGGGCTACTTCGTGCAAAATCCCCCCCCCGAGCCCGCTGATGCAATGTTTCGCCCCAGGTCTGTCCGGCTGTGAAATCCGGAGACAGAAGCCGATCAAACAATTAGCCTGGCGAAGGGCCCAAACATATGCAATTATGAATACCGCAATTGTGAATATCATCTTCGCTCGCGCTCCCTATAGGGCCACGAACCGTGCGAGGGGGCGTGCCGAAATCCGTGGCGGGGTCCACAATATGAACAAAGACGGTCGGTCTGACTGCGAGAGACTGAGAACAGGTGAGCCTGAGCGCGAGTAAGTCTGATTGCGAATGAGCCTGCGTGCGAATCAGTCTACGTGCATGAATGTCGACGCCCTCACGAGGATCGCGCCCGCGTCCTCCCTTTTCTTTTTCTGCCCCTTTGCCCGTGCACGCCGATGTCCATGGCTGCGGGCGCGGCGCCGCGCGGAGTCCCCGCGACGCACGCTGGTCGCCCCGAAGGTGTCCCGGCGACGCGCGCGGGTCGTCCGCCGCGCGGAGCAGAGAGAGCTAACTGGCTGGCTGATAGCGGGCAGGGCTGTGGCCGATGGGCAGAGCGACGACGGGGGCGAGCGAGGCTCTGGGCAGAGCGCGGCGCGGAATTCCCGCGACGCACGCTGGTCGCCCAGAGAAGGTCCCAGCGACGCGCGCGGGACGCCCGCGGCGCGATGCCACACAGTCAGACCGTCGAGAGACGGCGAGGCTCGGGCGGGCCGCTCCTCAGGTCAAGCCTCGCGGATAAACTCGGTGAAGCCCAGCTCCCTGGCGGGGCCGCCGTGCGAGCTGCGCTACTGGGACCACAGGTGGAGCTCCCTATGGGCCACGAAACGTGTGAGGGGTGCGCCAAAATGGGGCGAGGCCGCCATGCGAGCTGCGCCACTGGGTCCACGAAGCCTGTGAGGGGTGTGCCAAACTTAGGCGGTGGCGCCATGCGAGTTCTGCCACTGGGACCTTAGGTGGAGCTCCCTATGGGGACACGAAACGTGTGAGGGGTGTGCCAAAATGGGGCGGGGCCGCCATGCGAGTTCCGCCACTGGGACCTTAGGTGGAGCTCCCTATGGGACAACGAAGCGTGTGAGGGGTGTGCCAAAATGGGGCGGGGCCGCCATGCGAGCTGCGCCACTGGGACCATAGGTGGAGCTCCCTATGGGGCCACGAAGCCTGCGAGGGGTGTGCCAAACTTAGGCGGTGGCGCCATGCGAGTTCTGCCACTGGGACCTTAGGTGGAGCTCCCTATGGGGACACGAAACGTGTGAGGGGTGTGCCAAAATGGGGCGAGGCCGCCATGCGAACTGCGCCACTGGGGCCTTAGGTGGAGCTCCCTATGGGACAGCGAAGCGTGTGAGGGGTATGCCAAAATGGGGCGGGGCCGCCATGCGAGCTGCGCCACTGGGACCATAGGTGGAGCTCCCTATGGGGCCACGAAGCCTGTGAGGGGTGTGCCAAAATGAGACGAGGACGCCATGCGAGCTGCGCCACTGGGACCTTAGGTGGCGCTCCGTATGGGACCACGAAACGTCTGAGGGGTGTGCCAAAATGGGGCGAGGCCGCCATGCGAACTGCGCCACTGGGGCCTTAGGTGGAGCTCCCTATGGGACCACGAAGCGTGTGAGGGGTGTGCCACAATGGGGCGGTGGCGCCATGCGAGTTCCGCCACTGGGACCTTAGGTGGAGCTCCCTATGGGGCCACGAAGCGTGTGAGGGGTGTGCCGACCGAGAGACATGCGAAGGGCAGAGGCAAGGAGGGGGAGGAGGGGGAGGAGGAGAGGAGGAGGAGGAGGAGGAGAGACGCAGGGCGCTGTCTCTTCAGAACGAGGACCCAACACCACAGGATGGTTGGGACTAAAGGCTGCTCAAGCAACAATCTCTGGTAAGACGGCTGGAACTGCCGCGGGCATTTGCATCGATCGAGACCCACCCCTGAACCCCACACGCTACGTAAAACAAGCCGAAACCCCAAGATTGCACAAGGATCGTGCGCGTTCCGCGAACCCGTCGTTCACCATTGCCGCCGCCCCAAGAGGTCGGCGGTGTGGCGTAAGCCAATGAATCAATTCCGCTGCAGAATCTGGACCAGATTCGAGCGCTCCGCGATCACTTTGTCATAAGGATGAGTGAAGGATGGGAACATATTGCACCAGCTGTGCAGGTTCACCACCCCTGTCGAAAACGAATGCGGCGTTCAGGTGAGAGGTTGCGGCAAAATCTTGGACTGCGCGCGGGCGCCGCGCGATCCTGTTGCATTGTTATTGTCAAGGATGCTGGGGGGGGGCCCTGGCACGTGCGGCGCACCTCGCGGGTGCAGCGCACCTGACTGGCGCCTGCGTTGGTGCACGATGGCTGCCGATTGCGGCCCCTGCCAATACTCAGACTCGGGAGGCCCACATCTGACCCACGGTAGCCCGTGGAAGCCCAAGACTACCCTGGACATATTAATCAATGATGCCCCAATGTTGCCCCTCAAGCTTGCCTCAAGAAGGCATCACGGTGGCCCATCATCGCAACATGACAACCTCAGAAAGGCCAGCAACATACCAACAGGTGCCCACAACCCGGCAGATGGCGAAGCCATTCAAATGACCCTCGATTCGAACAGCCTCTCGCCAGATGGCAGCAACATTGCAGGAACCTTTGCTTGAGGATTGATCGCCAAAAACTCTGGCGATCTCCAGCCACCATAGTCCTGAGGCGTTTTGATGTCGATCTGATCTTCGAGGCCTTTGTGGTATCCGCCGCTGTGCCCCCTGGTACGTGGAAAGCCAAGTGGTGCCGGGTAGGGGTCCTGTCGTCTGAGGGCCCTTTCCCCCACTGCTCCTCCTCCTCCTCCTCCTCCTCCTCCTCCTTGTCCTCGTCCTCGTCCTCCTCGTCCTCCTCGTCCTCCTCGTCCCACGTCCGACTGCATGCCCTCCCCCTTCAAGGGCTCCCTGTGCGGCCCTGGACGGCTTGAAAGACGGCCCAGGAAGGCCAGAGGCAGCCTAATCAACCGAATCTTGCCCCACAGCGCACGCAGCAGCCCCCATGAAGCGCCCAACAGCTTACAAGAGGCCTGCACGAGGTCACAAGACACCCCCAAAACGCTCCTCAGAAGGCCTTCGAGACGCAAACCAACATTCGGCGGTGGACAAACCTCCCTTTAATAAACCACCCTTTAGTGAAAACGGCCTGGGACCGAAACCGACGAACCTGGACCCGCAAAAATGACGGCCGCGACGCCCTCTCGCGAACCGAAAACGACCAATTCGCTAATCGACGTGTCAGGGTAGGAGGTCTATCAACCTCCGAAACATTGACGTTCCTCAGGCTGTTCAGTGTGTTTCGCTTGCCACACTGTTCAGTCGAAGATCGGTGAACTTGGGGTCACCGAAAGCCCCAAGAAGCCCAACCAGCCCAAGATGGCCTCAGGAGAGCCCAAAGCTGCTCCAAGAGCGCCCGCGCCCTCCCCAAGAGATCTCCAAGACGGCCACGAGGGCCCCAAGACGGCCCAGAAGGGGCCAAGGGAGCCCCAAGACCGCCCCACAGGGGCCCAAGACAGCCCCTAGACGGCATCAACAAGCCCCATGAGAGCTGCTCGAGAAGTGGACGCGACAAGTGGCAAATGTGACGGCTTCGCAAGCAATGCTCGAAAGGTGGGCATACAGGGTACTTCGCCGGCACCGTGGCGAATGTGCCGCAGGCACCTGGATATCAACATCCTGCAGCGTGCGGGGTTGTTGCCAACAACCACGTGTATGAGAGTTGGTTTCGTGATGGTGTCCATGGGATGCAAAACCCGAGACACGGGCGCCAGGTGCACCCGACGAGAGAAGCCTGCCCGTGCTATGCGGCCTGTGCGGGATGGGATGTCGGACTGAACGCTTGGAGCCGAACTGCTACAGTTGTGATCACCTGCGGCTTTGGGTCATACGTCCCCCCGGAGACACCACAGAGCGCTGGCCGTGAGGAGGGGAAGGTGAATAAGGATGAGGCTGAAGGGAAGACGAAGAGATGCAGGACGAGGATGAGCATAAGGATGCAGTTGAGGATGAGAACCACCATGACACCAACACACGCCGCTGATGCTACAGTGCACCCTCTCATCTCAAGATCCCTCCCCATAAGGCTCTCGGGCGTTCCCATGGTGCCCCCGCCTCTACTTAGCGCACCCCTCAAAGAGCTGCGGCTTCAATAGGGACGCTCCTGTGACGTCCTGGCCTGAATACGGCCCACCCCTCACGCGTATCGTGTCCCATAGGGTGCCCCATTACGGCAGCCCCCTTGCGCGGTCCGCCGTACGCGGTGAGGAGGAAACCCTTCACGCTACAGGCAGCTGCACAGGGTTGTGTCCTCCGCTAGGCAACGCTAGCAATTTTCAGGCTCTCGCAAATTTGGGACCTCCAAAACTGTTGTTTCTTGCGTCGGAAACAAACACACCGCGCAACGGCCGTTCTGCTCAGACCACTCTCCCTCCCTGCTTCCACACGTTCGCTCCTTCGCCCCCTTCGTCCCCTTCGCTTGCTCTATCGCTCAAGATCTCCAATGTTTTCTTCTTTCTTTCTTTCTTTCTTTCGCAAACGTTCGCAACGCCTCGCTCGAATGAGCATTCCGCCTGGTTAAAGAAGTGCCCAGGCACGCTCGCTGATTTTCTCCATGTCAGCTCCGGATAGGTGCTGGGTGCGTGTACAGATCATGTCGTAGTCCATGCCGTCTTGCAATACTCCGCCCGCAATCAATTCTCCGATTTCCGCTTGGCACGCACTCTGCACGTCCAGGGGCACAAAGACCTCGCGTGATCTGGTGCACTTCGAACCACTACGGAAGCCTGCGCCCTGGCACCGGCCCCCCCCGTCTTCCAGACGAGTGCCGTCGAAGTTCGGCTTGATCGTGCCAGGGGAACAGTAAGAAGCGTGGCGGCCACGGAGGGCGCCCTGGGCCCGCGGGGGGACCGACCAGGCCGCCCAGGAGCGGGGGCAGCGCGCACAGCCCAGACCCACTCCTGCTGTGAAAAAGAAGCACGACGGGAGGTTTTTCGCTGCTCTCGGCCTCCTCTTTCTCCTCCTCCTCCTCCTCCTCGTGCTCGTACCATGGCAGTTGAATTTCATTGTGGGCCTCCGAGTTGCACTCGCGATGCACGTGCAAACCCACGCCATGCCACGGTGAGGGCGGCTCGCACGCTGTGCCGAACAGCCTGCGCTTCCTCTCTCCCTCGCTTCTCCCCCTCCCTCCCTGCCTGTCTCCATCCCGCCCGTCCACTCTCCTCGCCCAAGGGGATGGGGAAGGCATAGTCTGCCACGCGACATATCACTGGATTGCCAAGTGGGGGCGCCATTTTCATATGTTTACCTTCCTATATCCCAATTGCCTGGGAACCCCCCACCCCCCCGAAATCGGACCCCCCCCGAATCCTGGGCCCCCGGGACCCTCTGGACCCGCCAGATCTGTGGCCCCTGGGGCCCCCCGGACGCCCCTGCAGGAAGCCTGCAGAGCTTTCCAAAGCTCCCGGAAGCCCCTGCTGGGCCTCGGCAGCGGGCCCGAATCGGTCAGGGAGGGCGGCCGAACGCTTCCTCGAAGGCCCCAGGAGGCCCCAGACACCCACTAGACGCCCGAAGACGACTCAAAGAAGACCCCCAAGAGGCTTTCGAAAACATGGATTTCCAACGGTTTCAACAAGATTGTGGGAATGCCTTGTTCTTCGGTGTTCTGGGCATCCGCGACCGCCTGGGAGGCCTGATTATCCCGGCAAAGCAACCTAACAGCGATGTGTATAAGCATAGCTGGAAGCATTCCCCTTAAGATTCAGGTGAGAATCCAGTTGTAGAATTCTGCTGTTCTCGCAGTCGCAGTCGCAATGACAGTCGCAGTGGCAACGGCCTTAGGATCCAATGGAATCCTAAGGATTCCTAGGGATTCCTAAGGCATCCTAAGGCATCCTTAGGAATCCATAGGAATCCTTAGGAAACCTTGGGAATCCTTAGGAATCCTGATTCCTAGGCTAGGGAATCCTAAGGATTCCTGAGGATGCTTAACTATGCCTACGGATTCCTAAGGATTCCTAGGGATTCCTATGGATTCCTACGGATGCCTCAGCCTGCCTCAGTTTCAGCCTCAGCCTCAGCCTGCCTCGGCTTGCCTCAGCCTCAGCCTCAGCCTGCCTCGGCCTCAGCCTCAGCCTGCCTCAGCCTCAGCCTCAGCCTGCCTCGGCCTCAGCCTGCGTCAGCCTCAGCCTCAGCCTGCCTCAGCCTCAGCCTGCCTCAGCCTCAGCCTCAGCCTCAGCCTGCCTCGGCTTGCCTCAGCCTCAGCCTCAGCCTGCCTCGGCCTCAGCCTGCCTCGGCCTCAGCCTGCCTCAGCCTCCCCTCCTCCCCCCCCCTTCCCCCCCCCCCCCGCCCATTCAGCCTCACCTTGTCTCAGCCTCAGCCTGCCTCGGCCTCATCCTCAGCCTCAGCCTCAGCCTGTCTCGGCCTCAGCCTGCCTCGGCCTCAGCCTCAGCCTGCCTCAGCCTCAGCCTGCCTCAGGCCTCAGCCCTCAGCCTCAGCCAGCCTCAGCCTCAGCCTGCCTCAGCCTCAGCCTCAGCCTCAGCAGCCTCAGCCTCAGCCTCAGCCTGCCTCAGCCGCAGCCTGCCTCAGCCTCAGCCTGCCTCAGCCTCAGCCTCAGCCTGCCTCAGCTTCAGCCTCAGCCTCAGCCTGCCTCGGCTTGCCTCAGCCTCAGCCTCAGCCTGCCTCGGCCTCAGCCTCAGCCTCAGCCTGCCTCAGCCTCAGCGTCAGCTTCTCAGCCTCAGCCTCAGCTTCTCAGCCTCAGCCTGCATCAGCCTCAGCCTCAGCCACAGCCTGCCTCAGTCTCAGTCTCAGCCTGCCTCAGCCTCAGCCTCAGCCTGCCTCGGCCTCAGCCTGCGTCAGCCTCAGCCTCAGCCTGCCTCAGCCTCACACTGCCTCAGCCTCAGCCTCAGCCTGCCTCGGCGTGCCTCAGCCTCAGCCTCAGCCTGCCTCGGCCTCAGCCTGCCTCGGCCTCAGCCTGCCTCAGCTCAGGTATTCAAAATATGGCACAAGACTGGTGTTCTGGGAACACGAAGTGGCCCACAGTTGGCTCCGGGCAATCAAAATATGGTACAATAATGGTGTTCTGGGAACCTGAAGAACACGAAGTGGCCTACAGTTGGGTCCGGGCATTCAAAATGTGGCCTGGGAGTAATGTTTTGAGAACACACACGAAGTGGCCTACAGTTGGCTCCGGGCATTAAAAATGTGGCCTGGGAATGGTGTTCTGGGAACACGAAGAACACGAAGTGGCCTACAGTTGGTTCCGGGCATTAAAAATGTGGCCTGGGAATGGTGTTCTGGGAACACGAAGAACACGAAGTGGCCTACAGTTGGGTCCGGGCATTCAAAATGTCGCCTGGGAATGGTGCTCTGGGGAGTCCCCGGACTCTCCCCGGCACCCGCCCAGACCCCCCTGGGGAGTCCCGGGGAGTCCCCGGACTCTCCCCGGCATCCGCCCAGACCCCCCTGGGGAGTCAAGATGCTCTCTTTTGAGCCCACTAGAAACCTATCAGTCTTCGCTGTTAGGTAAAAATCGCTCCAAAACCATCCAAACGGGCTTCCAGGCAGCCCAAGAAAGCCCCAAGACGGCATATCAGGGTTCCAAGATGGCCTAGGGGAGCCCGATGACGGCCCAAAATGGCCCAAAGACACCGCATTTCAAATCGTGACCCGGTCGTTCAGGGAGACCGCGGTTGGAGGAAAGATGGCCCGAAGAAGCTCCACAAACCCCCAAATGACGCCCAGGAAGCCTCCAGAAGACTTCGAAAAAGCCTTAAAACTTCCGTGAGGCCCCCAGAGGCTCTCCAAGACGGAACATCCGCAAAAAGAGCAGAGGGGGATGGCGAAGAATTCGCAGGGTAGGGCGAGAATGAAGAACAAAGAAACATGGAAGACATATCATGAATAACATTATGATAACGGCGATGTCGGAAACAACAACCAAGAATTATCGCTAAATTGTCTCTTTGACATTGCTGCCCTTCCGCCTGCTTGCCAAACTTCAAGAACCAAAGTGCATGTCGCCAAGCGCCAGTGCACTTGTGTGTATGTTAGACATGTGCATTCCTTTTCGTATGTTGTTACTGAGCGGAACCCTGCGCCCCCCCCTCCCTAAACAAGAACCCCCGATCCCTGTTCCCGGGGGCCCTTCCGGATGCTCTTTGACAAGGTCACGCGGGACATCCGGGCCCTTGAGGATCCCTACCAACCCGTGCAAACGGCCCACCAGCAGTGCCACGAGGCCCCCAAGACGGTCCAAGAGGGCCCCGAGACGTCCTAGGAGCTTCCCAAGAGGGACCTAGATGGCCTCAAGACGACCCAGGAGGCCCCCAAGACGCCCTCATAGGCCTTCAAAAGGACACACATAATAGCAAAAATCGTTCGTTCCCTCACGCAAACGTTCATTGTTTGCATACGCGCTTTGTAAATCGTAGCAGCGTCCAAGGCCGCCCAAGAGGCCCCCATCATCGCCCAAGACGGCCCAAGAGGCCCCCAAGAGCGCCCCCAGACGGCCCAAGAGGGCTCCAAGACTGCTCAAGAGAGCCCGAAGTCGGCCCAAATGGGGCCCAAGAGGCCTCCGAAAGGCTCCCAAGAGAGGTCCAATAGTGTATTGAAGCCTTCCAAAAGAGCCCAAGATGGTCCTAAGACGGCTTCCAGAACGCCCTCGCCCCCGAAGACGGCCCAGGACGGCCCCAAGGTGGTCCGAAAAGCTGAAAAAAAATACCTTCAAGAAGGCCTCGAGAGGCCCTATTCGTTGACGGCCCCAGGCCTCCAAAATCCACTCAAGACGGCCCACTGGGCCTTCGAGACAGCCCCCCGGCGGCCCAAGAAGGCCTCCATACGGCCTGGGACTTTTGCGACTTCCGAAGACTCCCTCCAGGGGATGGCTGTTC